CTATAGAAGTTGATTGCATGCAATCCATAGAATTTTAAAATAATGAGCATAAAATACATCCAACAGGATCTGAATTAGAGCAAAGATGTGTTATTCTCCAAGAACAAAAGTTACTATGATAACATTGTAATAGTGTAATTTAATATTTTGTATAAACAATATAATGTTAAAAATATATGAAAAAGCTTATACACATTTTACCCGAGGGTATAATTTTGGCGTGATAATTGACGATATTGATCACCATTCTTAAACAAATTTGTGTCATCCATTTCATGAGTATCACGCTCAAGACACTTCCATTAGTGATCCGCATGAAACATAACATACATCCATTATAAAAGCATTCATAATATCAATAATTGTTAATGAAACATATAACATGAAAACTTTGAAGCGTAAAAAACTTGATATTGTTTCATACGATAGATTGCAAGAGCAGAAAATGAATTGGGTTTAAGGTTTGCGTTCTTCAATAATCTTTTTTATGGTGTTTTTCAATCATCTATATTCATTCGTTTAACTAATCATTTTCTTGTTTTACATCAGAAACAAATAAATGTAAAAGGGATCTGGAATATATTGCATCCAATATTTCTCTTGTTCGATATTTCAATAAAACGAGGATCCAACATCTGATCTTCACCAACAGTGATGACGATGAATCGAATTCAAAATTTGTTATATGTATATTCACAAAAATATTATGTGTAAACAATGTAATATTATGGGTAAACAATTAATTTATTAATATTTTGTAGTTTATAACGAGTTTAAAAAAAATATTAATCTTACCCTTCAATGTTATTGATAAATCGAGAACTTTGATGCACGAGTTTCGAAAATATTAAAAGTGAAGTGGTTGGGTTCGAACCCATGTGCATAAGCTTTTTTCCTCGGTGTTATAAAAACTAAGGTATAAAATTGATACTTTTCATGATGTTCTTCGTTACCTCACTTCTTTAGTCAAGGTTAAATGCATTTCTTGTCCAAAATAAAATATGTTTTTTTAGTAGTGCATTATGAAAAGGCATATGTTGATGTATAGAAAAATATAGGCGAAGATGTTGATGTATGACCAAATATATGTGAAGATGTTTATATAGGTTAATATGTACATGGGAACAATGTTTTAAGTCATAATGTTCATAGTGAAACTGATGTGAGTGATTATGGATATAGTGAAGGTGTTGTGGCTTATAGTGAATAGTGTCTGTTGGTGCATAAAGAAGAGATGAAAGGCAAAAGAAATATATTTAATGACATCTATAAAAATAAGGAATAATGATTTACAATGAATTACATTGACCTACCTCACTAGGCTATTTATACACAAAATAAAATCATAAATATCCTCTAACAAAGATATAAAAAGATCTAAAAATATATTCCTAAAATATAAATTAATATCTAAAAGATATTTCTAAATTAATTCCTAAAATATAAATTAATTCTAACACTGTCCCTTAATTTATATTTACACAAAACTGGCAACACCAATTACATCCCTCAAATGAAGAAATTGATCAGTCTTGATAACATTTGTTAGAACATCTGCCAGCTGCTTATGGGTACTACAGTGTACAACTTCTAGAATTTCATTTTGAACCTAATTCCTCACAAAGTGATACTTGGTCTCAATATGCCTGCTTCTCCCATAGAGCACTGAGTTCTTGGCAAGATTGATTGCAGACTTGTTATCAATCATTAGCTTCAGAGGCTTATTTACCTCAATCTTCAAATCTTTCAGCAAGTTCAGAATCCACACAACTTGACATGTAGTTAGAGCGCCTGTAATATATTCAGCTTCACAAGTTGACAGCGCAACAACAAGTTGCTTCTTAGAACACCAAGAAATAGGACCTCCCGGAAATTTGAATAAGTAACCATAAGTACTTCTTCTGTCAACTCTATCTCCACACCAATCAGAGTTTGAATAACTCAGAAGTTCTGATTCGATCTTTCTTCCAGACGAAAATAACACTCCATACTTTAGAGTTCCTTTCACGTACCTCATAATCCTGATAGTAGCTTGGTAATGATACCATTTTGGTTTACTCATAAATCTACTAACCATTCCAACTGCATAGAAAATATCAGGTCTGGTATTACACAAATACCTTAGAGAACCAACCAACTGTTTGAAGGTTGTAGCATCCACATCCTCTCCATCAGAATCAGAGTCCAACTTTTGATTCGTATCAGCAGGTGTGATAGCAACTTTGCAATTCTCTAGCTCAAATCTCTTCAGAAGCTGAAGTTCATACTTTATATGATGCAAAATGATTCCTTTCTCAGAGTACATAAATTTTATCCCTAGAAAGAAACTCATTTTCCCAAGATGTTTCATCTCAAACGCGTTCATCAGAACTTTCTTGAACTCAGCTGTCTCTTGTTCAGAACTTCATGTGAGTGATATGTCATCAACATACAAACATACCAGAATTATATTACCTCCTGAAGTACGCTGAACATAAACACCATACTCCATCTCACATTTCTGAAACCCTTGTCCCTTGAAAAATGAATCAATCTTCAAATTCCAAGCTCTGGGCGCTTGCTTCAATCTATACAAGGCTTTGTGTAATCTGAACACCATCTCTTCTTGATTCTTTTTCTCAAATCCGGGAGGTTGTGATACATATACCTCTTCTTGTAATGGACCATTCAGAAATGCAAATTTTACATCTAAGTGCATCAGAGTCCAATTCATGTTAGCAGCTACTTCAATCACTAGTCTTATTGTTTCATGTCTCGCTACAGGTGAAAACACTTCAAAGTAATCCAACCCAGTCTTCTGTAGAAAGCCTCTTACTACTAATCTTGATTTGTGTTTTCCAATTGATCCATCTGGCTTTAGCTTCTGCTTGAAAAGCCATCTGACGCTGATGGTTTTCTTGCCTTTTAGAAGTTCCGTCAGCTTCCAAGTCTTGTTTCTCTCTATAGCATCAACTTCTTCTTTTATGGCCTGTAACCAAACTTGTTGCTTAAGAGCCTCTTCTGTACTCACGGGTTCAGAGTCTATTAGCATTGCACACTGAATAACTTCTCCTTCAGAGTCTACTTCAGTGTCTTGCAACATGTCAAACTCTGCAAATCTTCTTGGGATGCTTCTGACTCTTTGTTGTTTCTGAACTGGAACTTCAGAACCTTGGACACCAGAAATTTCCCCTTCAAAAGCACTTGCTTCAGAAATTAGACTTTCTTCAGAACCTTGACTGTCTTCCGAGTCTGAATCACCATCGGAGTCAGAGTCAAAATCATCTTCTCCTTCTAAATCTTCTTCAGAGTCAGAGTCTTTATCAGCTTCAGAAACATGTGTTTCTGACTTTTCTTTAGGAGTTTTCTCATCAGAGTCAGGACAAGACCTTTCCCAATTCCAAACTTCTGATTCTTTTACAATGACATCTCTGTTGAACTCAACTTTGTTAGTTTCTGGATAATAAAGTTTGTACGAACATGTACTGTAGTACCCCACCAGTAACATTACTTTACTTCTAACATCCAACTTCTGTCTTCTGGATTCTGGAACATGTTTGTAACATATAGAACCAAACACCTTCAGATGACTAACACTTTGCTTATCTCCAGTCCACTTCTGAATAGGAACTATTTCCTTCAATTTCTTTGTTGGATATCTCTTGAGTGCATAACATGCAGTGGCAACAGCTTCTCCCTATAGAGTATGAGGAAGCTTAGTCTCTTTCAGCATGCTTCTCACCATATTAAGCAAAGTACGGTTTCTTCTTTCAGCAAGACCATTGTGTTGAGGAGTATAGGGAGCATTAACCTCATGCTCAATTCCATTCTCCTCACAGAACCTTCTAAATTTTGTGGAGTTATATTCACCACCACCATCATTTCTAAGAATCTTCAGAGTCTGGCCACTATGATTCTCAACCTTCAGTATGAACTTATTGAATTCAGCAAACACCTCATGTTTGAACTTTATGAGAGATACCCATGTCATTCTGGTGAAATCATCAACGAATGAAACAAAGTATTTATTCCCTTCAGTTGATGCTACTGGAAATGGACCGCACACATCAGAATGCACTACTCCCAAGGCATGCTTTGCTATTGGAGCTACTTCTGATGCAAATGGTAATCTTGGTTGCTTCCCTTCCATGCACACCTTGCATGACTTTTCAGGCTTCTTGATTGTAGGAATTCCATGTACCAGCTTCTTTGATTTCATATGCCCTAAGCTTCTGAAATTCAGATGACCAAATCTTTTGTGTCATAACTCACTCTCCTCGACAACACTTATTGCACTAAGACATTCAGAGTCTATAGTTCTAACATTCACCTTGAATGTTCTATTCTTTCCTCATTCTGACTCTATAATCAACTTCTCATTATGGTCATACAGTTTTAGAAGATTGTCCTTCATGGTAACCGAAAAACCTTTCTCAATCAGTTGTCTCGCACTCATCAGATTGCTTTTCATGCCAGATACATACCACACATTCTGAATCACTTCTGCTTTCCCGTTATTTAGAATGACTCTGACATTTCCCATACCTTCTACATTGAGGTATTTATCATCAGCACATATGATCTTTGTACTCTTCCCAGAGTTAAAATCAACCAACCATTTCTTGTTTCTAGTAAGATGGTTTGAACACCCTGTGTCCATATACCACCATTCTGATGAATTCATATTATCATATTCAGAAGCCAACAATAGCACAGGTTCATCATCAGACTCTCCTCTGGCTATATTTGCTTCTTCTGACTTCCTTTCTTTGTTTGACCAGCAATCTTCAAATAATATTTCATTTGTTTGTGTTATCCAAACATATCCCTTCTTTTCCCCATCGAAACCTATTCACAACTGCCATTTTTTTCTCTTCTCACCATTTAAAAACCATCCCTCACATCCACCTCTCTTATTCTCACATCTCATCACCCTTTTCTCTTCTTACTCGTTCACTCTCTTCTTCCTCAACACCCATTAATCTTTCAACTTCCTTCTCTCTCTCTCTCGTCTTTTCTCCATGGATTCTGAAGACGATATGCACGATGCCAACGATGTTGAGTCTCTCAATGATGATTCTACAATGGCGAAACTGAAGATGCTCCCATGTAATACTGAGAGGTGAGAGGTGTCTAGAATCGGGTTCTGATTACAAAGGTGAAGATTACTTATATGCATGTGTAAACCCTAATTTGTCATTTTATGTTTTTCAATGGAAGACAAAAAATTTGATTCTAAGAATCACGTGTAAGTTATAGAAGAATTATCTGCTAGGGTTTCATGTTTACCCCCTTGTGATCACATATTAAATTCATATTCTCATATGGTAAATTTTCTTGAATTTTTTCACTTTTTTGCTTTGTTTTTTTTTTGTGGATGTTGATGTTGATTATCTTTATATGCTATTGTTTTTTATTTTTCCGTTTTTTTAAGATTATTAAAATTTAAATATTAATATTGATGTTTCCTTTTTAAGATTGGTGTTTGATCTTTTTTTGTTTGTGCCTTATTTGGTTGATTTAATGATATTATATGATGTTATTTACGGGATGATGAAGTTGACGGTAATTTGAGGAATCATTGTAATCATGTTACTAAAGAGAAATGTGATTTTTTGTCTTCTGTTAACACTGAGGAACATAGTGAGGAACATAATATGAATTTATCTAGATTGTGTCCTGAATTACCTGATGAATCATTCGAGAGGGATGGAGATGATATGGAGGATTTGGCTGGTATTCAGAATCACATAAATATTTTTATTATGATGCTCCGTTGAATGAAGATACTGGAGTTTGGATACTGGTTTCGGCTCCACCTATGTTGGAAGACAATCATAAAAAGTGGACCAAAGATTTCTTCTGTAGTATTAATATACTATTTTTATCTGTACCATACTAGCTATTAAGATTTGTCATGCTGTTTATGATCTTTCTAATAACTAATATGATTTATTATATATTATAAGTTCAATCTCCTGAGTTCATGATGAACTAATTTATTTTTAATGATTGGATTGATTTTTCAGTATTCAAGAGACCTTTTTATCTCGAGTTTCTGAACTTCTGCATTGAGAGATTTAATGTGGCTTTTTGGTCTTCAACATTCAAGTATTCTTTAACTTAATCTTTCTCTTTTATAAAATGCCATTGAGTTAATTAGTTGTCTCTTATTGGTGAATGTGTTTTGATAATTTTGCAGAAAATATGTTGACAGGGTTGTTGATTATTTGATGGAAGACACGAGACAAAACACATTGCTTTTGGATGATTCTCCTTACAAGAAAATACTTAATCCGATAAAAAAATCGACTTTTACATTTGTATAGTTATCTCACTATTTCATTCTTATCTTTAACTAACTTATGTTTAATGTTTTAATAAATTATTATAGCCATACAATTCAATCTTTCCTCACATATACAATTATGAGAATCATAATGACCTTTCATTAGGTATGCTAAAAAATGACCTATATATTTGTACAATTAGATTGTTTTTTCGGCTTGATTTTGTTCGTTTTAGTAGCAATAAACACCTGCTAGAAATGCTTATCAAAACTTGTCTATTGACGTAGAAATATTTGTAAAACGGTTTCAAAGAACTTATGAAAACAACTTACTTTAGAATATGTGTATTTATTTTGGTTCATTTTATATAGGTTTGTTATATTGTAAGCATTCCAGAAGTTCTAAAGAGGTTTGTGACCATAGAAAAGGAGATTGTGCAGATTGAAGGTTCAGTTCAATCAAGTGAAACAGAAGGTATGAATGAGAAATCATAATGACATATGTGCCTTAATCTTTCTTCTGATTGCATTTTTCACAGAAGTTTCAAATGAGCTTAATAATAATGTGTGATTAACGGGAAATCTATCATATATGGAAGAGCGTGTCAAAAGGTCGACTAATTCCTCAAATCAAGATGGACATGAAGAGAATTCGAGGTATATATTTGATGTTTTCCTTGTATTGTATGTGTGTACATATTTGTAATCTTTAGGAAGTGTCTACAATATAGTAGGATAATTTTCGATGATGATTTATTATAGGGTTCGTCTTCAACATAATGAAAAAATGTTATTACACCTTCATGGTTCCTATAACGTGAGATCAGATCCTTCATTATTACACCTTGACTGTCAAAACCTGCCGCTAACAGTTTGAGTTTGATCCTGGTATTATATCAGACACTAGCATCCTCTCATTGCCCAATTTCAGGATTACCAATTAATTTGAAAGGTTATATTTCTTTTTCTTTTTATCCTCACTAATTAAAATGCTTTTAGTTTCATAAATATGTCACAAATCAATGATGTCTAACTACTAGTTAGGAAGTATGGTATATTGTCAAAATACATTTTTCCATTTGTCTTTGACATTACTGTCTTTGACAATTGAGAACTATCAATTTACTTGTAATAACTCCTTTTTTTGTTTAGGTAAAAGAGATTTTATAGCTGGAGTGGCCGATGACAATGGGTACGGATGGCCAATTGCAAAATCTCTTGCTGCAGCAGGAGCTAAAATTCTTCTTGGCATATGGATTCCTGTAAGTTACTATTTTATTGCAGATAAAAAATGGGTACTTATCAGTCAATACCAATTCACTAGGTTATATGTCTGCGGCTTTTCTAAATCCTTCATGTTATGTATGTATTCCAGTCCTTTTTTTGTGATACATTTATTAACCATGAACCATTGTTGTAGGCTCTGAATATTTTTTAGTCCAGCTTACGATGTGGAAAATTTGACGAATCACACGTGTATGACATTACATACTTCTATTGATTTTATTTGTTAAACCATGTGATATATAATCTTGCTAATGAGAAATGTTATTTTCCAAATTGCTTGATTGTTCGTTGATGGAAATTACCAAAGTTTATCCCTTGGATGCAGTTTTTGACAACCTTAAGGATGTACCAGAAGATGTAAATAAGCGATACCGGGTTTCATCTTTTTAATAAAGATATCTGAAGTACATGTATTTCATGATTTTTATCCATGTACTTATTTTTTTATTTGACAATTTTGTATAGATAAAATCAAACAAGCACTATGCTAGATCCAGCAAATGGACGGTTCAAGTATATAAACTTATCTATACAAGATCCAAATGTTATTTTTCTCATTGTCTTGGATAAAAATTGAGTGATTAACAATTCAATAAATGCTTATAATATTGATATATCAAAAGATAAATTTACTTTAATGTTTTACATTATTGTCTGTTGTGATACGGTGGCAGAACCGACAGTTATACTGGTTTTGCATTTGTATTCGCAAATATTGCAGTAAGAAAGAGTCGCCATCGACTTTTCTTTTATCCAACAAAGGAAAGAGTGAAAAGAACAGAAAAAGACCTTTCGAGATGTTTTCTGAGTAAGGGGGGTAGATTATGTAAAGGGAAGGTGTTAGCACCCTCTCCATCTGTAGTTATCTACGGGCTCTTAGATGCTTAGCTCATTTTTTTGAATACTTTTGTGCTTTGTGTGTTTTGAAATGTATTTTTGAAAATGCCTTAGTGTGGCGATTTGCTTTATGATAACTATTGTATCAATCCTCAAGAGTGTTGATAAAGCGTCTTTGAAAAATGTTTTTGAAATGTTTTTGTGTAAGTGTAAAAGTTTGTTTTTGAGCAAGCATCTAACAACTATCTACTTTTACTCGAAAGGTTTGTTCTTTTCCTCCCTTACTTTAGACAGTGCTATCCTACTATTAGTGAGTAGGTAGCCCTATCGATTGGATGTTTGAGGGACATTCGCGGGTTATTATACAGTCATAAAGGTAACATATAGAGACGCTTTAGCAATTTTGTTTAAGGGACTAGATCATTTACCGAAAGGCAACACCGTAGGGTCATCGAGGGACTATGATCTCTTGATTCAAGGGTCTTTACTAAAGCGTCCCTACTTTCGAGGGACATGACTGTTTTATTTTCTGAAGGCAACCAAAGTGGGAGTACCCTTGAGGTGTATATGTGCAAGTGTGTTATATTCCGTTATTTTTTGTCTTTTGTGTTAGGTTTGCTATCGTTGCTTTTAATTTCTTGTAATACAATCCTATTACCATACATCTAGCAGTTAATAATTGCAGGGAATTAAAATGTGGAAATTAAAGCTACGTTATTACATGGCTTCGGGGGGAGGGGGGAAGCAAAGAATAAAGTCCTAACTATTACAACTCATTAGGCAGTTACAATAATATGAAATAGTGCGAAAGAACAATAACGCGCGAATTTGAAAAGATGTCTAAAATCCTAAGAATAAAATCCTTTTGTTTTATTTTTGATTTTTATGAAAAGAAAATAAATAATAAAAAAATGAAATTGAACCTAAATTCTAATTTATTTTAATTTTTGAGAAGAAGATGTTAAAATTAATTAATTAATTATTTCAGAAATTAAATTAATTAATAAAATCTAATCCTAATTTTTATGATGATTTTTTTTATTTGATTGTTGATTTAAAGAGGGAAATTATTAAAAGAAATGAGTAAAAAAATAAAAAATACAAGAAGAAAAGTCTTTCGATCCAAAGAAAAGATGGCTTTCGATCCAACGAAGGGTGGCCTTCGATCCAATGAAGGGTGGCCTTCGATCTAGTGAAGGATGGCCTTCGATCTAGTGAAGGATGTTTCCTTCGATCCAGCAGAGGATATTGTTGGAGGTGTTTCATGGATTGCCTGTGCAGGAAGGCACTGAATCTGCAAGAAAAATATTAACAAAAACAAAAAGCATGACATGGGTGTCGAATCCAGGTCCTTTTCCTTAATTCGACCTCCCTTAATTCGACCCCCTTTGAGTTTGAATCTGGGTTTGTCTGCCCTAAAAACCCAAGGTTTTTGAGATTCGATGAAGAACACAGATCATGCCCTCTATCCTTGCATATTTCATGTGAAAGTTGTGCTATATGATACCCTGAGCATGAATCAAACACTGGAAAACATTAATACATCATGAAAACATAAATATGAATTTGAAAATTTACCACATATGGGATGCTTCGATTTGGCACTTCTGGGTGTAGATTGGCTTGGAGTAGACTCTTGGGAGTCTCGGGAGCACAAATCTAGTATTCATTTGGACTGAGGGTACCTGCAAAACTAGTTTCGAACTATGAGATTTTTATAATTTTGGTATGCTTTGTGAGGCAGCGTATGCGTGTCGTCCCCTTTGGCTTGTGTTGGTGTCTTGTATTTATAGGAGGTGGAGGAGACAAGGAAATTAGGAAAGAAACATGACCTTAAAGACCAACCATTAAACATGGCTTTGAAAATAAAATCAGACAAATTAAAAGATTACCATTTTGATATTTTTCAAGCCATTTTAGAATTTTGAATGAACCTGGACAGGTGATGATTAACGCCTTATATGAATTCGAACTGCTCCAGTGCCTGGTCATTCGATTGGCTCTAAACTGCTCCCTTCGATGGCACCAACTAGCCCAATCAAACATTTCACTCTGGCCAGTCGAAGCTCCTTTTGTCACTTCCTTCGAATGCAATTGCGCAAGAGACTTGGGCTTAACAACATGTTGGATTTTGGGCCAGCAAGCATCTTGGACCAAGACTCATCATAAGACAAACTTGTTTTTAATAATTATGTGTCTCCTTCGAATGGACCACATGTATATCCTTCGAATAGCCCTTTTGTGTGTATTTCGAATAACCCATATGTATGCCTTGTGCATTCTTCAAATTGGACATCAATGTATGCTCATAATGTAGCAATCATGTGCTGAAGGGTTCAGAGGTAGAGTCAACGCAAGCAGTTTTGAAGGGAACCATTGCCCAGTCGAAACTAGCATAAAGTAAGCCAATGCCTTGTGGATGCTAGCATTAGGGAGGCTTTTTCTCTGTGAATTGAAACACATATGAAAGAAAGCCACTGCTTTATGGGCGCTAGCATGAAGGGAAGCCATTGCTTTACGCACTGGAGGCAAGCACAAAGTAAGTAATTTCCTTGTGGGTCAAAAGGAAGCACAAAGGTAAGTTGAAGGGGCCTTTGCCTTGTGGATCAAAGGAAAGTTTGAGGAATCCTTTTGCCTTGTGCATTGTAGGCACGCACAGAGGAAGTTATTTCCTTGTGGGTCGAAGAACACATGGAATAAGCTCTTGCCTTGTGAATCGAAGGCATGTCTGGAGCAGCCTTTGCCTTGTGAATCCAAGGAAAGCATGAAGAGGCATTTGTTTTGTGAATCGAAGGCCAGTTGGAGAGGGAGACTTTGCTTTGCACGCTGAAGGCAAGCAAAGAGGGAGTATTTTCCTAATGGATTGAAGGAAAGCATGAAGAGACTTTTGACTTGTGAATCAAAACCAACCTGCAGGAGGCCATTGCTCAATCAAAGCAAGCGTATAGAAGTTACTACTTGTGAATCGAAGCCAACCTGTAGAGGGCTACTGCTGGTGAATCGAATCAACCCTGTAGGGGGCCATATGTCCAAATGAAGCTTGTGGACCAAAGCTTGCTCGAAGGGGACCCAATGTTGAATCAAAGACTTTGAAATCAAGGCTAACTTGAAGGATTTCATATGCAATCGAAGACTTTGAAATCAAGGCTAACTTGAAGGATTTCAGATGCAATCAAAGACTTTGAAATCAAGGCTAACTTACTACTCTTTGATTTGATGCCTGAAAGCCAAAAATCCAATTATATTTGCGTGAACTTGGACTTTTGAAAATCCTTGTGAGAAAATGTCTTGAGAAAAAGGGAGGGATATTTTAGGGTACAACAGTTGCCCCTATTTAATATTCTTAAACCTAAAGATTTAGATTGGCTTGTTTGCCTTTCGTGATTTGAAGGTGGAAGATGATTGGACACGAGAGTGCCCAGAAATTTGCACTCGATGATTTGATGGTTGACTATGTAGGGAATGGGCTTAAAGATGCCATTTGGAGAAGATGGCTGAGAGTTGTCGGAGATGGGCTTAAAGATGCCATCTGTTGTAACCCAAAATTTGCCCTCGCATTTTTTCCACAAGAGATCGCAGCTTCAGGCATTTCCTGATTTTTCAGACTGGCTCAAGAATCGGACAAACGGACTTTTCTCGTCAGTCAAACAAAAATTAGGGTTTTATTGATTTTCAGGGCTCTGGATTGTTTCACACAGTTGGCTTAGGGTTTTGGTTGATTTTGGCTCAACTTTGATCAGGCGAACGCTCTTTGGAATTTAATCAGGAATTAGGGTTTTTGTGGGCACGTTCTCAGAAGGTTTTAAATTCTACAGCATTTTGCGAGCCATTCTGAGATTTGGTTTGAATCCGCATTGTTTGATTTAATCAGTAAAAGAAGGCAGTTGATTTGAATTCACCAGTCAAAAGATATATGCAGTTTGGATTTACAGTGCTTGGTAAGAAATCAGTAAGAAAGGATTGCGTCTGATCAGTTATTGCGTTTGACTGTGCTTTGCTTTGGATGATGAAGTGCCAAGTTCATTTATTTTGATCAACGTAGAATCAATGTTTAGTTGATTATTTATTATTCTAAAGATTAAATATCTGGAATTTAATTTTCAGTTATTTTAATTTAAGGAACTATAAATAATAAGTAAATAATTGAAAAGGGATAAAAAAGAATTAACTGGATCAATAGAATTTTTATTTCATATTTAAATATTTGTTACAATTATTATTTAGATACAAGTATTTATTTACGAGGTATTTATAATAATAATAGTTACAATGATTAAATTGAAAATAAAACTATCCTATTTTTCTAAATATTCCTAAGTCCCCAATTCTTCATTCTTCATTTAGTGATGCTCCCCTCCATTCAAATTATTCATCTGCAATAAATAAAAGAAAAGAGAAAAGTTAAATAACAGATAAATTGAATTGAAAAGACAGATAAAATTACAGTCATCATTAAGGGCCACTGATTGGGATCAGTTAACCCTCTCTGCAAATCACGGGATTTCTCCCGGTTCACAAAGAGGGACGAGTTTTATTTGCTAAAATATGAATGCACAAAAGTCAAATTGCACAATTCAAATTGTCAAACTACATGGTTCAGAAGCAGGTCCAAACCAAACTAAAAAAGTCCAA